CCTCTCTAACCTTGTTTCGAGGAATAACTAGTTGCTTCCTATCTTCCTCTCCATCTGGACTTTCAACAACACGCTTCAGGATGCCGTCCTCCAAAACCATTGAGTCCCACTGAGCCCATAACGATTTTAGTACTTGGGTAAAGGAAGAAACATGCTGCCACGTTGGTCGTTTTATTTCTTTTTTCCATTCCATTATCTTCTTCAAGTCCGGGTCGTTTTCTTGGTCGTGTTTTATATTGTCAGGTAACCATTGCCTCTTCGTTCTTTTCCATTCGATCACACTGCTTGCAGTCTGTTTGACGTCGAGTACTTGGGAAAGGAGTACTTTTCCTACACTGCCTCCTCGTATGACCTAGTTCACCGTTTTCCAACATCTTAGCTTTCGAGTTGCTTTATCGAACTTGGAGGTGATTCGGCAGATGGTTTCTTCTAAAGAATCCGTTTCTTCGCACAGTAGCCGAACCCTTTCCTGTTTGCTGTAGGGCGGTTTAACAGTTTCATACTCCAATGCACGAGGCAATGCATCAGCTAGCGTCTTAGGTCGGTCAAGGCGTATTCGTTGTTGAATGTCACTATCCCGAAGTCCATCAGTAAATGCCTCCACTGCCAACCTTTCCATCAATTCTTCTGGAGTATTAGGATAGGCCAGTCGAGACAGTCTCGCAATATCGGCCTCGAATTCTTGTAGGGATTCCGTTGATTTCTGCTGACAGGTTTTCAGTTAGATGTGATACACCGCTGTTAAATAAGTCTCGCCGTAGCTCAACTCCAACCGTTTTACCAACTGTTCATAATCCGCCAATTCTTCCGGGGAAAAGGTGTTCAAAATGTCACATGCATCTCCACGAAGCGCAACGGTCAACGCAGTGGCTTTTTCTTTAGGCGCCCAGTTATTCGCCTTAGCAGCCGCCTCGAATTGCTTGTGGTACGTTGTCCATGAGGACTTTCCTTCAAACGTTGGTGATTTTACTCGTGTTCTTGACTCTATACCGCTTCCTCGGCTGGCTTCGTTGAGTGTACTAGATGCGCCAACATCCCCTTCGATTGGTTTTGTCTTTCCGTTAAAAATCAATTCTTCCTGCACTTTTATCTTCTTTTCTGTTTCTTGAATATTCTAATTAATTTTTTTGAATTTAAAAACATTATTAAATTATTACTACACTTAGGTAATTATTCTATTTATTTACACTACTGTTACTATTCACTGCTCTATTTATTTCACTTCTGCAACGGTCAATTTATTTCTACTCTTTCTCTTCTACAACGGTCAATTTATTTCTACTACCTCGGCGATCGTCTCTTCTTTTAAATACTCTTTTGGTCCCTTTCGGGAATTTTCTCGAGCCGTCCGGAAAAGTCTCGTTTTCTTTGAACTGTTTAATTACATTCCCGGTACGCAAGTACGACACACACGTTTACAGTCGGCGAATCGATAAGCCGCTCACACACACGTATCACGTTCGTGGTCGCTACAGTATGCTCATGAAAGACGGCGAGATCCACAGGCCTTGGTAGTGGAGAGCACTGGAGGCAGAGAGAGTTTGCGAAAGCTGCAGCCTTCTCTTCGCCTGAACAGTAGACAGTGCCGTTTTGTTTTAGGGGCGGGAGGTGGGGAGCACTGTTTCGGAGAGGGCGGATCACTTTCCAAGCACTTTGAGGGTGAATTTCTGTCTGTGAGATGTAATGGTCGAAAGAGGCGCTCCGAACTTCCGTAAGGCGAGATTTAAGTTCACGCTGTATGGCATTTAGTTCGGCACGGTGAACGGGATTGCGGTGCCTTTGCCATAAGTGACGAGTACTGTTTTTCCTTTTGAGGAGTGCAAGAATATCAGGGGGCTGAGTTTTCGTCGCGGTCGAGTTGGGACGGGAAGATGTGGAGAGTTCGATGGCGTCGGTAATCTCGTTTGACAGGAGATTTACCGCTTCTTCGAGTTCCGCTATTGTGCGAATTTGAGTGCATCTAAAAGTAGCAGTTTCAATAGTGTAACGGAGATGTAGCCAATCTAGCGAAGTTATTGGTTTTGGTAGATTAAGTATTGGGCGACCATCTTCTATTAGGACCGGAAGGTGGTCGGAATCTAACGCGTCTAGCGCGATCAGTTCAGCGGAATGGTTGACATTTTTCGTGACGAAGATGTCCAAAATGTCAGGTTGCTGCCTAGCAGGGGCGGGAATGAATGTGGGAGAATTGGTAGCTTCAATTGTTAGATTTAGATTAGACCTTTGTGTCTGAAAGGTGTCCAACCTATCCCGCCTATTTCTTATTGACTTCCATAGAGCCATAGTTACAAACCCTAAATTCCCTGAATATACATAAAGACGCTGACTGTCACTTCTCTGATCTCATAGCCACAGAATATATTCAAAATGGATTGTTAAGGTGTAATGATCTGATTGGGTGAAGATAAAAGGTTCTACCACAATTGACGGTCACAATTACTGTCAATTTTTTCCATTAAATAAATAAAGAGCTTGTTTTATTTGTTTACCTTTCTGACACCAATTATTAGTTGAGTTCATACCCGACCCAGTACGGACCGGTCACACACGTTGTCTAAGATGAGTTAGAGAATGGAACTTCTCGAATACAGTGTGTCGAAAAGAAGAGGGGACATACGGACATGTTTTATTCCCCTCAACATAGCTGAGAATTACTCCGTCAGAAAGTGGCAAATAGATTGGTTAAATTGTGAGACCACTTTTGGAGTCGTTTTGTAAGCTTTATTGTAGGTCATTACGTTGTTCAGCAGCCTTTATTGAGCTTGACTTGGTGGTTGGCTGTGCCAATCTTCGTTCTGGAGGGGCTGTCTGCAACAATGTTGTCCAAACTATAAATGTAGCGGACATCAGTGGAGAACTGGCTTATAAAGTTGAGGTGTCTCTGCTAACGAGATTAGCCTTTATCTGTTGCTAAGACAGTTGTTGTCCATGGTGTTGCTCAAGGACTACACCATGGATGCATCTGTGGTAAGTCCTATGGGTTTGCTTGGAGCCGGATGAACTAGTAATACAGCTTCTGCGAGGGCTGTTTTTCAGGTTTTAAGGACGCGAATGGCATTTTCACTCCCTGAGATTGCTTCATTTTTCTTTCGATATTCCTTGAGAACTTATTCGTTTAACGGGGCTTGTATGTGTGCCGCTTTTGGGATAAATCTTCTCTAGAAGTTTATAAGCCTCCACTGNATATATTTATTATATAGAAGTTTAAATTTTGAAACAGCGTGGATTCTATCTGGCAATGGCTTTAAACCATTTCCATTTATCAAATAGTCAAGGAATGACATTGAAGGTTTGCTAAATTTACATTTAGACATGTTGATTGTTACACCATAATCTCTGAATCTCTCAAAGTTTTTGTGTAGGTGAATTTTATGTTCTTTCTCGTTGGTAGATGCAACGAGGAGGTCATCCAAATAAACGAAGATAAAATGCAAATTTCGGGGGATTTCATGCATGAATCTTTGAAAAGTCTGGGTCGCATTACAGAGTCCGAAACTCATTCGAGTAAATTCGAAGTCCAAAATGGGTAATGACGGCCGTTTTCGAGATATCTTCCGAATGGACTGTGATTTGGTAGTATGCCCTGGTCAAGTCTTTAGTTGAAAAAACAGTAATGTGGTGAAGGAAGTGGAATTGGTTATCGATCAGGCAGGGTCACTCAGTCAAGACCACGACAGTCCACACGAGGTCTCCAACCACCAGTAGGTTTTCGCATCATGTGCAGGGGGCCGGCCCAAGGACTTATTGATTGGCGGCAAATACCTTAGTCGCACATCCACTGAAGCTAGTGCTTTGCAGCTTTTAATTTGTCTGGGGGCAGTCGACTACAGAAGATTGGAGTCCCAGTAGTTACAATGTGATGTTTAACAAAATGATTTACTTACATATTTACTATTTTAACAGACGGTGAAATTGATTTGATCATTCCAACTGTTAGGACTGTACAACACATAGAATTCGTTTTTCTGATTAGGTTGTTGTTTGATCTATACGACGATGGCCGGTGAGATCAAGTAGCAATTTGTGCGCTTTCAGGAAATCCGACTCCCAAAATAGGTAGTGGTACTTCGGTGATAACGAATTTCCAATTATGAGGAATCGGAGTTGCGTTTTCTTGTTAGTGACAAACAAATAAGCGATTTGTTTGGGCCTCGGCTATGGAATCGGCGCTAAGGGCCGCCGCAAAACGCCTAAGTCTATTTCGGTGAGTACTTCTTTTAGTTTAGTGTCTTCTGATTCGCCAAACTTTGCTATTAGACGGTTTGGTAAGATATCATAGCTAAACACTTACTGGGATTGTGATAATAACCGTTGCTTGCTGAAGAACTTTATAATCCGAGTATATTGCAGTGAGTAAGAGAGCATGAAAGTCAATATGGTATACAAAGAAATAAACTATTATTATTTTTATTATTATTATCTAAGGAAGTCATCGTGTTGTGAAATTTCGAAATTGGAGAAGAGATTTTGGAGGCGGTAAAAACTACTTCAGCATGAAAATGAATATGAATATGATAAATATGAATGAATGAATAAGAATGATAAAATAAAACCGTTATTTGTCAACTTCACATTCAGTATTTAAATTGTTGATAAATACAAAACTAATTATCAACAAATAATAAAATGTAAAAAAAGGATTATGACAGGGGCCATTACCATTGCTTTCGTGTTCTACCAAGGTGGTCCCGATCATACACATATATTAATGAACGTGCCTTAGCCGTATGTCGTTGTAATAATTTCTTGACTCGAAAAGTGAGGGAGATGGCGTATGGTTTCGGACTAGTGCTATCTCTTTCATGACACGCTCACGCACTATCGTAAGAGAGATGGATATTGTCCGAAACTTTGTTCCATCTCTTTCTTTTGTTGTACCACAATTCTGACCGCTAATAAACGTCGATGGTCCCGATAACAATAACTGTTCCAAGTTGATTTAACAGAGGGCGCGCCATTCTGAGGCGATTCGTTTTGCTGCACGCACCCCAGCTTGTAGTCTATGGGTTGGTTATATCTGTGGGTCTAACAAACCTTTGGTATTTTAAAAGTAGTTATTGGAAATTTTTAGTTTTCAGCATTTACTAATTTCTTTATTGAACTTAAATTCTCAAACAAAATGACCAATCATACAGAAAATTTTATGGTAAGTCATTTATTTCTTTAACGTAACGCTTACTAATTAACATTTTTGTTTAGAATCGAGTTACCCAAGCCCTTGGTCGACCAATTCAAACCCGCTGTGCAGAATTAACTGTTCTTTTTGATAAAGGGAGCATAAAGGATACACACAGTATATTTCCGATAGTAATTGAAAATATATTTGGGTCTCAAAATTCATTTAGTTGGGAGTTACAAAGTGTTAATCAAGCTCAGAATTTTCAAGACTTTAGGGCACTTCAACATTTTTTATCGCCCCATGGGCCTATGTTTAGGCTTATATATACGCTTTTAAAAGACCCACAAATCAAATATGAATTTGGTTTAAGTTATTTACCTGTAAGTATGTGGTAATGTCACAAAGAGAGGTTAAGTTTTATGTTTTAGACTAAAGTCCGACAAAGTTTGGATACTGCTGTTTCTCATCCTTTTTATGCAGAAAATTTAAATATCAATCCACACACAAAGCAAGTAACATCATTAGTTTTAAGTAGGTTATTCAAGTATTCTCTGGTAATATTTAACAAGTTGTTAATTTTTAGATCCTTTTGATTATTATTTCTTCCATTTTGCATATTATCTGATAAATCCATGGCACCAAAGATTAATTAGTTCTACAATTTCAACATTTAATAGCGGCTCTGTTTATTTTAATTTGTGTTGTGATTACATTATGCACTTTCTTCCTACTGAACCAGGTTGTGCTGTATTACCTTCCATAAATTATTATGTGGGAAAAAATCCAATACAGACACTGCCAACATTTGTCAGGTATTGTACGATACAAATTTTATTTATGTTTTGCATGATTTCTCCTAATTGCTTTTTACATGACGTTGGGTGAGTAAATAACTGTGTTGCATTTTTGGGGTCTAGAAAAGAGTGTTACCAGTAACTAAACTAATGTTTAATCAATTAATTAGACTGTGTTAGTTTAAAAAAACGGCAAACGTCACATAGGTACCCAGGAAAAATAATTCATTCAAGTGTGCTGAGTACAATTATGATAGTCGTATAGGCCACAAATGAAGGACACATCTTGCATATTAACAGTGATGTTGATTTGATTTGAATCCATCAAAGAGGTAACTGTTATTTTGTAAGGATTATGCATAATAAAATATGCTTCACCAACACTATTAGTGGTTTGATAATTTAAAGTCATTTTTTGACAATTTTGTTTATATTTTTCCATTAATTTTGCAATTGTAAGGAAATGTTTATTTTAATTCTGCCTAAATTTGTGTTATATCTATTTTTTTTGTAGGATAACATTGATTTGAATTTATTTAAAAGAAATACCGGTTTATTCGGCAAGACAATTTTTTAAACAACAATTTCAATTTCAAATTTGAAAATAGCCTTGCAAAGTAAGTATGGATGATCAAAAGTTAATAACATTGATTTGATGAAAAGCAGTTAGCTATTTTCAAAATGAATGCACCAGTTTCCTTACTGATTGATATTGAAGATATTTTTTATAACTATTCTAATCCCATGCCACAAGCTTTAAACCTGTTAGAGTATCTTCAAATTGCTTATCCTTCATTAATGGTTGAATGTTGCATTCATTTAGAATTTTGAGTTAAGTATGAAATGAAATGCATCATTATTTAAACACCAACCCTGCTTTATTTTTATTTCTCGTAATTGTGGAGAGGATTGCTTTAATTTGTTGAAAACATTTCCTTATGAGGTTTTTCACTATACCCCATTTGATGTGCAGCAAAAGAAACAACGGTTGTTACAAGTGGGGTTTCAGTAGGTAATGTTGTTTTACCTTAATCAGACTTCTTGGCGTAGAGTCTAATATCGTTCGTCGTAATGATCGTCTTTAAAACGGGTACCTATATACACATGTGTTGGGTATATCTCGTTTACATTTTACGAAAAATAGCGATAACTTTTAAATCTACACATATCTTCCACGTGCCGTTATTATAATGCATTATTTGTAGTTTTTTTTCTCAATGACCAATAAATTTGTTTTTGTGGTTGGTGCTATCAAACTAATACGCTAATGAATTATCGTCTATAGATTTAAAAAAAATATGAAACGACAATGACGAGTAATTGTCTCGTGCATCTAGTGCTAGAATATTCTTTTTTTAATTCTGCTAACAACCAATTGTTTTGTGTTCATTGTGACGATTTTGATACATCGATATATTTAATTCTTCAATAGATTTGATTCTCCTATGGCTTTATATGCAGGTGGCATGTGTTTAAGTTGGGGTTAGTGTTTTCTTTTAATATGATATATATAATTAGATTACTGTTCACAAATAGCTAAAGATATGGTATGCCAAAATTCTTAACTAGGACCGTAAAAAAATGATGAAAAAAAGGGCGGAAGAACTATTAGGAAAAAAAGAACAATTTGGGTTTAGAAGAAATAGACGAACGCGGAACAGCGTTACGTGTAAGAATATAGAAAATGATACTTAGGGTTCGTAGATTTAGAAATAGCATTTGATAAATTAAATTGGATAAGATACTAACTACACTGAAATCTCCCTATAGCGAGTACTCGAGAGACCGGTAATAAGTATTTGCTAGAGAGAGAGGGGCTTGCTAATTAGAAAAAAGAAACATTTAAAAAGTGCCTATATAATAATAAATGAAAATAATCTTTCCTTGATTACCATACCACCCATCGACGTTTACTAATGGACATGTCTTAGCGGTCAGAATTGTGGTACAACAGAAGAAAGAGATGGAACGAAATCTCCTTCACTTTTCGAGCCAAGAAATTATTACAACGACATACGGCTAAGGCACGTCCATTAATATATGTCTATGATATCACCTACTTAACTTAACCTTAACCTAACATAGCCACCTTTCTAGTAACTCCTTTTCTTACTGATATTAATCTATTATTGATAATTCACGAACGCAGGTTTTCTTATAGGTCTACGTCGATTGTTTTTTTTTTTGTTAAGTTAGATTAGGTTTGGGTGTCATTTTAATCCATTAATGTCTTACAACTACCGAATTGCATGTACAGTTTAATGCAGTGCATGCTTGTTAATCTAATCAGAGGATGTTTAGGCACTATTCTGGCCAATGAGTTTGTTCCGCATTTTTTTTTTTGTTTTTATACGTTTTTGTGTAGTACTCAATATTTTCATTGTGCCCTTAAAATTTCCTATTATCTATTTTAGTTTTTGAAATATAAGATGTTGAAGTTCACATATTTGCAAACAGTGTGGCGGCTAATGACTTCATTAGACGCAACCCTGGATTCGGAAATACAACGTGACCGTATTAACCGTTCATATAAAGTGTTGTTTTGATTATTTTAATAAAAATAAGGAACAGTACAGGGATGAGTTGAATAAAGCTGCAATGGTACCTACGTTATCAGTTTAATAACTAATTATTAATAAGAGTAATGCATATTAAATAATTTCAATTTTTTCTATCTAAATCTAGCATTAATAGCAATAAATTATTCCTGATTAATCGTGGCTATTTGAATGTGTTGATACTATATATTTTACTCCGGTTAATCTGTCAGTTGAGCAAAAAAAGGCGTGGTATAAAAAGGCAAAGTCAAAAAAGCCATTCTATTATCCTTTAGTTGGATGGCAAATAAATCATTTATCCGAAGCATGTGTTTTTATTTTGTACTCTTTGAAATTATACGATACTAACAAGCACATTTTTGAAGTCATATGGAATCAAACTATGTATACCTACAATAAATACTCCGTAACAGGCTGTAACATGCTTGTAACGACTAATAAGTAGCGTTGAGTCGCGAACAATCCCCTAGCTTATGCGCATAATGACATAACGCCTGGCTACGCCCCTTTTTCCTAGAAGAGCACTTTGTAATTGTTTTTAAGACACTAAACGTGCGAGTAAAATTTTATTTTTTTGCGGATTTCTTATTTTTTATTTGCACTTTTATTTATTGAAAAAAAAATTGCTGAACAAGCCCATTGACTCCGGGAAGTCCCTGGGAAATGGGGAAAGGGAGTCAGACAAGGATGCGCACTGTTATCGCTACTTTAGGAGTTAGAGATAGCCTTAAATAAAATGGAAGCGGTATTGACAAAACAATATTGTATGAAAATAAATAAAAGTAAAACAAAAATACAGGTATGCAAGGGAAGAAAAAATAGGGAAAGAGCGAATATAAAGATAGGAGACGAAAAACTAGAAGAAGTGACTGATTTTCGTTATTTAGGAAGTCAGATAACTCAGGATGGAAGGAGCAGTAGAGATATAAAACAGAGGATATCGCAAGGTCGCCTTTAACAAAAAGAAGTCATTTCGATATAGGATACCTTCTCAGGCATGAAGGGCTGGTCAGAGACGTATTGGTGGCATAAACAGGAGTTCGGAAGGGTAGAGGTAGATTTAGATTAGATTACATTTCACAAATAGTTCAGGAAAGGGAAAGATAAGATTAGCTCAGGATAGGAAAGAGTATCTAACCAATCTTAGGAATGAATATCTTATGATGAGATGACATGTAAATTTATTCAAAAACTTTCACATAAAGCAATATAAAATATCCACATGGATCGAAAGAGAGTAAAAAGAGGAACCGAATGACAAAATAAAATATGCTAGGTGCCATTTGAAAAAACGAATTTATTTGTCTATGAAGTTTTTACACTTTTTTCTGAACGCCCAGTATAAATTATGAAGCTCAATTTTGGTTTAACATTACCCATAAAACACGACTATAACTGGTGAAATTTTCAACGCTCTAAGTCATTTTTTGTAGAAGTTACGTTTTTTTATGGTTTGGGTTGTGATTGTTTTTTTATAAATTAAATTATCTCCGAAACTGTTAATCGTAGGCGTACAAGTCAACCACCAGTTAGCAAAACTACTACGTCTATTTTGATTCGTTGCACATTTACTTGCTGCAAAATGAAATATCCATATCATTGTGATCTCCTGTTTTGTGATCAATCATATTTGTTAGTGGAGTCACTTTTTTACCTAATAAGGATATCATCATTTTTGTCTTCGCTTAACATGACAAAACAAATTTTCGGAATTCAAGCACCAGGTAAACTTGTGAGTATTAAACTCGCCCTTCTTCCGGGAAGACCATTACGGATCCCAATAGTACTCCTGGTACTTGTAGACTTCGGTGTAGGGTTAACATAGGTAACCCAAATATATACTGCACCCTTGAATTTTTTCCTCGATACTTGTTACCAATATGTCCTAAGAGGTCTGTTTTGCGCAGACAAATCACATCATTATTTCAATACTGACGTATGCTGGCGGTAGCGCTAATAAATACATAATTTGTCCAAAACTTGACGATTGCGGAATTCATACAGAAGGTGTTACTTTTTTTCCTGAACATTTTCTATGACACTGTATTATTACTTGGTTGACCATATGGAGAAGATAACTGTCACAGGTTATGGTTTGTGGAGTTGGAAGGGTTTAATGGTTTAATTTCCATATAAAGTTTTTGCTGACTTCTTCGTTCCCACGTTCTGCTTTTTTCTGCGATATGGTGGTTATTAACAGTAAAAGGTATCCAATTCTTTGCTTATTGTACTCCGTGTCGTATTATTTGGTCATGAAAAAAAATTTTTGCTATAAGACGTTGGATAGATATATATTTAATTAATAAGGAATAGATGCATGGATTGATTTTTAATAAGTACTATTAGATTACCTGTTTATCCCCATTTGGTCGAAGTTACACAAAATACGCTAAAATGTGTAAGTATTTTAAAAATTTGAGGGTATTACTTTTGTATTCGACCAGGAACTTGAAAATTAAG